GTCTCGCCGTCAAGCCCAAGGACGACGCCGCCGCCGCCCGTGAGCGTGCCATCAAGGATCGCATGGAGGCCGAGCGCCGCGCCCACCTCGCCGCCATGCACGAGGCACTCCGCAACGCCGGCGACGGCGAGGCCGACGACTTTGTCTTTGCCGAGGACGCGTAGCCCACGCACACCCGTAAACGTCGCCCTGTGCACTTGTCTCGCCCATGTTGCTCTCGATCGTCTCGACCGCGGCCTCTGCCGTCCTCTACCCCGCCGCCGCTGCATGCCTCCTCGCCGCCATCTGGGCCATAACCCTCGCACTCGCCGAAGCCCGGACCGCGCCCGGCCTCGCCGCCCGACTCGCCCCTCCGCCTGCTGATGGTGCCACGCCATCCGCCGATGACACGCCGTCCCGCCCGTGGGTCCTTGTCACCGGCACCTCGTCAGGCATCGGCCTGGCCACAGCCGCCGAGCTCGTCACCCGCGGCTTTGGCGTCTACGCCACAGTCCGGCGAGCGGATGACGGCGATGCGCTGCGTGCGGCCGTGGGCGGACCGGCGAGCGAGGCGCTGGTGCGGACCGTGGTGTGCGACGTGACGCGGGAGGAGGAGATGGCGGCGGTGGGAGAGCAGCTCGCGCAGGGTGGCCGGCTTTGGGGCCTCGTCGCCTGCGCAGGCGTGTCGGTGACCGGGACGGTGGAGGAGACGCCCGCCGCCGCCTGGGCCGCCCAGCTCGAGGTCAACGTCGTCGGCACCGTCCGGACCATCCATGCTGCCCTCCCGGCTCTCCGGGCCTCGCCGGGCGCACGTATCGTGGTCGTCGGCTCGCTCTTTGGCCTCCTGGCAGAGTTCCCGGGCTTTGGGCCCTACGCAGCCTCCAAGTTTGCCCTCGAGGCCCTTGTCCGCACCCTCCGCGAAGAGCTCGCCCCGGCTGGCATCGCCGTCACCATGATCAATCCGGCCGGCATCGCCACCCCGTTCATCCGCAAGCTCGCCGCCGCTCCGCCACCCGACTCTCCGCTCGCTGCTCACTACGCGCCTGCCCATGCCCGCTTCCGCGCCTTTGTTGCACACACCTCGACTGGATCGCCCGTCCACGTCGCCCGTACCATCGCCCGCGCCATCTCCTCCGCCCGCCCCTTTGCATCGTATCCAGTCGGCCCGCAGGCGCAGCTCATCGCCTGGTCCGCCGCCCTCCTCCCGGCTCCTCTCCTCCAGCTCATGGCCCGCACAGGCTTCCCGCAGCACCTCCTCTTCCACGTCAACGCCTTCCTCGCCCGCATCGGCCTCCCTCAGTGATCGCCCTGCCGGCCATTGCTGCCATCGTCGCCCGCCGGCCATTGCCGCCATCGTCGCCGCCATCGTCAGCCAGCTATTAAGCCATTACAGTCTCCACCCCCATCCCCATCCCCATCCCCATCCCCATCCCCATCCCCTCCCCCTCCCCCTCCCCCCACCACCCCTCTCCCCTCCCGTCCCCCCCCTCCCCACCCCCCTCCCTTCTCATGGCCGACATCGACTCCACCGCCGCTATCGTCGCTGTCCACGCCGCCCTTGCCACCGCCGACCCGGTCGCCATGGCCGACGCCGTCGCCTTGGCCGGTGCCACGCCCTGGCTCCCTCTCCGCCCGCCACCTGCTGCTGCGGACGGAGAGCCGCCGCCGCCGCGGGGTCCGAGTCGTGTCCCGGTGGACTTGGCGCAAAAATTTATGCCTACTCCCAGAAACCGCCCCACCTTGTCCCTGCCCTCGTCCTTGCCGCCCAGTGCCCCGATCCCAGACTCGTCGCCGCCCTCGCTGCGCCACATGCGTTTGCCCTCGCTCCGCTCGCTCGGCACCACTCGGTCGCGGTCTCCGCGCTGGCTGCCGCCGCCGCCGCGGGCAACGTCGACGTCGTCGCCGCCATCGCCGCCATCGCCACCATTGACCCCAACGCCGCCGTTGGCCTCCCGCTCCCGCTGCTGCTCATCGCTGTTGATGAAGGCCACGCCGCGCTTGTTGACGCCCTCTGCACTGCCTCCTTCCCGCACGCAGGCCCTGTCGCCGCAGGTGCCACTCTCCCGGACATCGCCCCGGCCTCGCCGCGCCTCCGCAACTCTGCTGGCTGGCCGGCCCTCCTGCTCGCCGCCCACGCCGGGCACGCCGCCGTAGTCTCTGTCCTCCTCCGCCATGGTGCGCCTGTGGACGAATCCGCCTCTGCTGAGCAGATCACTCCGCTCTGGGCCGCCGCCTGGGCAGGCCACCCGGACATTGTCGCCCTCCTTCTCGATGCCGGCGCCGATCCGGCCGTCGCCAACCCCGCCGCCGCCACCCCGCTCTTTGCCGCCGCCCAACGCGGCCATGCCCACGTCATTACTCTCCTTCTTGCCGCCGGCGCAAGCCCCGCTGCGTCCATGGCCTCGCAGTCGCCGCTTTGGATCGCCGCCGCAGGCGGTCATCTCGACGCTGTCATCACCCTCCTCGACGCCGGCGCCGATCCCGCCGCCGCAGACGCCCAGGGCAACACTCCGCTTTTTGCTGCCGCCATGCGCGGCCATCTGCATGTCATGCAGCATCTTGTGGCGCTTACGCCGCCCGAAGTCCTCGCCGCCCGCAACACCCTCGGTGCCCACCTCCTGCTCCTCGCCGCCTTCTCAGGATCGCTTCCGGTCGTCCGCTACGTCGTCGACGGCCTCGGCTTTGACGTCAACGAGACTAGCCATCCGCAGGGCCTCACCGCTCTTGCCACCGCTGCTCTGCAAGGCGCGCTCCCACTCGTCGCCTACCTCGTCGACGCCGGGGCAGACATCTCTGCCGCTACCGATCCCGCCGCAACGCCCATTGCTCTCGCCACCCTCAACGGCCATTCACACGTCGTCGACTACCTCGCCGCCCGCGCCCGCCCGAGCCGCAGACCCCAGCCCAGCAGCCGTCATCGCTCCTCGCCCTCCCTGCCTCTGCTGCTTCTGCCCTCGCTGCTGCCTCCCACACCGCTTCGGCCGCTCTCGCTTGGTTCTTTACCTCTGCGCCTACGCCAGATCGGGGTTGAGCGCAAAGATGATGACCTTGCCGTCGTCGAGGCCCACGATCAGGTGGTCCTCCTTCTCGGTCAGCGCCACAGTGGTGATCGGCCGGTGGACCGGGAATCGGTACACCGCCTCGAGCGTGTGGACCGCTCGGACAACCACCACTCCGCGCTCGCCACCACTCACCACATACTCGCCAGTCTTGTTGACCACCACCGCGCTCAGCCGCTCGGTCGTGTCCACCGACGCCAGCAGCACGCCGTTGATCGAGAACTGGTACAGCACAAGATCCGCCAGCGAGTACATCAAGATCTCGCCGTCCGGCGAGACGGCCACGTGCGTCACCGGCGACGCCCGCGGGTGCGTCAGCGTGCGTACGTAGCTCCCGTCAGACACCTTATGCACCATGCACGTCCCATCGAGCGAGCCCGAGACAATGACGTCCAGGTCGCTCGACAGCGCCACTGCGCTCACCTCGTCGTCGTGTCCGTACAGCACATGCCGCGGGAACGTCGCCACACGCACCCCGACGAGCCCGTCTCCAACTCCCACACCATCAGCGATGCGTCCTTCGACCCGGTCACAACAACGCGCCCGCCGGCATCGGTCGCCAGGCACGACACCACGTCCGAGTGCATCGTCACAGACTGCACGCTCCGCCCAGACTCGAGCAGAGAGACCTTGAACGACGAGTCCCAGTAACCGCACGAGAGCACAGACTTGCCATCGTCCAGCAGCGCAAAACACGCCGCAGAGACGCGGAGCCCGTTGGCCAGCGGCACGCCCATCCGCTTCCGTGCCCCGCCGCTCTTGGCAAGCGCAAGTCCAGGATCGCGCTCAAAAGAAAACGGCGCGCCCTGTGCGTTGGCCGTCCCGGGCAGCCACCGGTGCGACGCAACCACACGCGACCGCGACACCGTCACAATCCGGTCATCGCTCGACCCGATGAGCGACGCCACACGCGAGCTCACCGCGCTCGACGGCACTCCAAGGAACAGGATCTCCTCGTCCATCACCTGCACAAAGAACGCCTTGAGCGCGCCCGGTGTGTCAAACAGCACCCGCGCACGCGCGCCCTTGGGCTTGATTCCTGCCGCTGCACGCAGCGTCACAAGTGTACTCGGCAGCACCTCGGGGTGCGGCTTGTCCAGCAGCTGCGACGGCGTCTGCCCAAACTCGGATATCTGCGACTCGTACGATGCACGCATCGTCTCGTCCTCCACAGCGTCGATGTCGATCGCGCCCTCGTACGTGAGAAAGTAGAAGATGTTGTGCGCCTCGACAGCCGCAGGCCCGCGCTGCTGGAATCCAAACACAAGGTTGATCCACTCGTGCAGGTGCGCCGTCACGTACGGTGACTCGAGCGCGAGCCGGTGCAGCCGTACAAACTCATGCGCCGAGCCGTGCGCCCACGGCGGGAGGTGCACGTCACCGATCGCCCGTGGCGCCCCAAACACCCCGTCAGAGCTCCGCTGTCCCAGATCAAACCCGTTCGTGTTGAGGAACATCTCCGGCAGGTAGTACCACTCGGGGATAAGTTCCTTGGGGTCCGTTCCGGCCGTCTTGCAGTTGGCCCACGTCGCTGCCACACTCGAGAACACTCGGTCTGCGTGGTCAAACTTGCCGCCCTGCAGCTGCACATGCAGAGAGGTAAACGGCTCGACCCGGATCATGTAGTACAGCACCGCTCCGCCCGACGAGTAGTGCGAGCCCCAGTGGAACTTGGGAATCATCTCGTCGTCAAACGAGTACCGCTCCAGTCCGCGCGCAAGCGACCGCTCGTCAAGCGCGCCCACAGGCCTTGACAAGTCACGGAACGTTGCCGGGTTGTCCAGGTCCAGTTCATCCGACGTGTAGTCGTCAAGAACCCACGGAAAGACCGGATACTGGTTGATGTCGTTGTAGCTCCGCCCAGCCATCGTGTTCAGCAGCATCAAATACTCAAAGTTCGACAGCTCCCCGCGCTGCCACGCTGCCGTAGCCGACGACCGCCGGAACACCTCGCGCGGTGCGCGTATGCCGTGGAAGACAAGCTGCGGCGGCTTGAGCCGCACAATCCGCCGTGCCACCTCGTTGCGCACCTTGCGCGAGGGGAACGCAATAAAGTAGTTGGTCCGGTCAGCCAGAAACACCTCGAGCGCTGCGTCACGGAACCGGTACCGTCGCACATGCACCTCGCGTAGTGCTTCCAGCGGCCACACAAGATCCTCGTACATCGAGAGCAGCACCTCGGGCGTGTCGTCGTCGTCCGCCTGCGCCTCCGCTCGCACATCCTTCGCCACACGGAACGCCACAGATCGCGCGCTCAGCTCGAGCACACCCTTCACCACAGACATGAGCGTCACACGCTCTGCTCCTGTCGCGTACACCACCTTGGCCTCTCGCTCGCCGCTCTCCTCACTGGCCTCGCCGCCCACAAGCTCAAGCACGCCACTCTCGCCACTCGACTCCGAGTCCGAGGCGCCGGCCTCGTCGCCGTCGTCGTCCAAAAGCGTCCAGTCGACAAGCCCGCCCTCGCCCTCGGCGCCGGGCACCACCGCAGAGCCTGGATCAAGCTTGGCGCCCGGGCCCATCGGGCCCAGCTCCTCCGCCGAAGACAGTGCCCGACGTGCCTCAGCGCTCACCACGCGCTTGTCCCGTCGCGCCGCAGCAAGTGCGTGCGTGTCAAACTCGTAGTTGCGCTCCATCTTGCGCCGCATCCGCAGCCCGTTCTCCGCAGCGTCCAGCTTCCAGTGGTCGTGCTCTACATCCGCCATCGCGCCCGACCATGGGTCGCGCGCCTGCGAAATCGCCCGCAGTGTCCGCCGCCACGCCCGCCCGCTCCGCCGCGCACTCTCCTCTAGCTTGATCGACGCCTGCGACCGCCGGTTGATCTCCCCGTACTTGGTCTGCGCCACAAACTCGGCAAGCTCCATGTGCAGCGTCTTGACCTGCCGCACCTCCTCCTGCCGCACACGCCGCGTCGCGAGCAGCACCCCGGCTTCGCTCTTGATCCGCCGTGCACGAGTTCGCTCGCGGACTTCGCTCAGCTCGGCCTCAAGCGCCTGCCCGATCACGCCAAACACCCGCTCCTGGATGCGGGGCTCCCGTAGCCCAGCAGAGAGCTCCGAGAACGCGTGCGCCGCCCCGGCAGGCGTGTTGACCTTCTCTACAGCGTCAAGCAGTGGCTCCACCTCGGGTGCCGTCGCCAGCAGCCACCGCAGCGCTGCATCGTTCGACCGCGCAATCCACGCCAGCCCGCCCATCACCTCTGCAGGCACCTGCGCCGGAGGCGAGAAGCTCCCCAGCCGCGAGCCCGCAACCATGAGTGCTTCCAGCAGCAGAACGAGCCACATCGAGACACTGGTGCTTCCCGACCCACCCGACTCGCCCTCGCCGCTCTCGTCGACCTCCACCATTCCGCCGCATCCGCCGCAGGTAGCCTCAAGGGCGCTCAGTAGCCGCGGTACCGCGTCGGCGTACGCCGCAGCCTCGCCGCGCGACGCAAGCGCCAGTCCGGTCATCACCGTCGTCACAGTTGCGCGCGCAAGCTCGCATACTACAGACTTGTTCGCCAGACACATCAGGTTGGTGTCCAGCACAAGCGTGACCAGCGCCAAGCCGAGCCCGGCGTCAAGCCACATGCCGCTAGTAGGCTCGATGTGGACCACCGGTACAGTCGCCGAGTACTCGGCAAGCGTGCTCGGTGTCGCAAAGAGGAACGCCTCGCACAGCAGCACGATGTGGACAACGTTGTCAAGTACAGCGTTCTCGCTCAGTGAGAACATGTGGTCGGCATCAAGGTGGAACCGCGACGCCGCGTGCGCAAGCACACTCCGGCTCACACCCAGCCCGTCGCACCCACCCGACGCCGCAGCGTGGTGGACCGCAATCAGAACGTCCTGCACCAGCCGCCACGATCCCTTGTTCGTCACGCACGCTTCCAGCGCCGCACCTACAACTGCCACAACAAGCTCGGTCAGCGCTTCGCCGCCATCCTCGTCAGGCCGCGGCAGCAGCGCTGCTAGCCGCTCGGCCCACAGCGCGTCTGCCACCAGTACATCTGCATTCCTCGGCGCCTCCTTCAGGAGCGTCCGCAGATGGGCCAGTAGCGGCAGTCTCGACGGCACAGGCAACGCCGCAAGCTGTGCAAGCAGCGGCTGCAGCGCGCCCGGCAGCACGACGTTGAGCTCCTCGGGAAGAACCTCGTACGGGAGCGACGCCAGCTGGTCGAGCTCTGATGCCACCTCGGCCTTGTCGGCAATCGCGATGGCCGGCAGGTCGCGAATCCGGCCCAACGCAAGGTCCAAGAGCGCATGCAAAGTCGGGACTCCAGGAGAGTGCATACTAAGAATGTTCGTCACGCCTGCCCACCCCAGGTGCTCAGCACGGAAGCTCTTGGCCACGCTTGGCACCTCGAGGACGAGGCAGCCCAAGAGGCGGAGGGCAGCTACGCGCACAATCTCATGAGCCGATCCGAGCAAGTCGAAGCAAAGGTAGATTCCGCCGGCTGCTGCAAGCGTGTCGCGAAGCGCGTCGCGGAACGGGGGCCGCGGCGCACCGGTCAGCCAGTGGACCAGCGTCTGCACAAGGTCAAACAGCTGACGCCAGTCCTGTGCATCGAGGAGGAAGGCAACCATGGCGTCGACCTCGGCGCGGGTAAACTGCGGGACGACCATACATGCGATAAGTGCCTTAATGTCCTTGCGCAGGAGCATGATGTGTGCCCGCGGCGGGCGATGCGCCACCACTGTTCCGGTCACTGGATGCAAGAACGGCCTGCGGGCCAGAGACGCATGGTCTGTCGAGAACCAGTAGTACTGCCGAAGCGCGTCAAGAAGGAACTGGACGCCCACAAGCGACCGGAAAAAAGCCGGCAGGTTGACCACATACTCGGTGAGCAGGTGGATGAGCTCGGCCTGAACAGAGACGTGTGCATAGATGAAGAGTGCAGGCTGGAAGAGAATGTGCTTGAAGCACTCGGCCGCGAGCTCGCGTCGCAGCCGGTACACCGACCGCGCAAGCGTGTCCACCAGCGCCAACGACATGTTGCCCGGCGTAAGGCTCTTGAGCAAGTGACCCAGGACTCGCGCACCTGAGATCTGAAGAAACGCCTCCTGCTCGGCCGGCGCAGCAAGGAGGAGCTCGAAAATGAGTGTGAGCAGCGCGTTGAGAAGCTCCGGCTGCGGCAAAGGCGGCGCTTCGGCACCCGCCTCAGCGCCCACTACAGGCATGTCCAGCTGACGGAGAAGCGGGAAGAGGACCTTGACTCCCCCAAGGTTGGTGATGGTCTTGGCGATTGGTCGCGCAACACACGGCGTCACGTCCGCGAGCACCGCATTCGACGACCGCTCGCCGTCGGGGTGCAGGGCGTTGTCCGTCACCACACCGTCGGCCGTGCTTGCCGCCCGCGCGTTATACGCAAACACAATCCACCGCTTGAGCTCGCCCGAGAACAGCGATGCCGTGCTTTCGGGCATGGTGTGCGGCGAATAGTCTGTCTCATGAAACGGCCCACCGTACTCGGGCCCGAGCGAGTAGATGTCGGCAACAGTCGTCGCCGGCAGTGCGCTCCGCAACAGGTACACTGGTCCAAGCTGCCCGCAGTACGGCAGCGTCTCGCTCCCCGGTCCGACTGCCGCTGCAACCGCTGCCGCCGCGGTCGACGACGACGCCGCTGCAGACGCTGCCGCCGCAGACCCACCCGGGACGCTCGACCCGATATAGCAGAATGGCAGCTCACGTCGCGCAGCGTCGCCGTCCGGATCTAGCGCGCGCAGCTGCGGCGACGCCGACGCTCTGTCACCAAGCAGCGCGCTCGGTGACGACGGCCCAGCCGCGGCCGCAGCCGCAGCAGCTGCAGCCGCAGACGTTGCAGACGGCGGCAGCGAGTTGGTCCGCCCGCCGCCCGAGCTTGTCGGCGACGACGGCGGCACAAGCGCGAGGGGGCGGAGTGAGGCCGAGCGGAGCGCGGGCTCTGGAGAGGACTTGGCAGCCAGTGCCAGCGCTGCAGACGTTGCCGCGCTCGACGAGGCGCTGCCCAGAGACGGAATGCGGAGCGGCTTTTTGGCCACGAGCTCGCCGTTGACGTACAGCGCGAGCTCCGAAGTCGACCACGGCACTCGCGAGTGCGAGTGGACCAGCGCCACATGATACCACTCTCCAGCCGCAAACTTGAACTCGGGGAACGAAGCCCGCTGGATTTTGGTGGCGCCCACGTGTGAGACGCAGGTCAGCTCGCCGGCCTGGATGTACGCCTCCACCCCGAGCCCCGCTTCGGAAAGGAACGAGAACAGCCATCGCGGTGGTGAGCGCGCCTTGGCCGCACGCACAGACTCGCGTGACGGAGTCCGTGCCAGCGAGGTCGACCACGAGCGCACAGGCAGCGCCGACGCAGGTGTCGGCAATGGTGAGCCGATGGTGGTCAAAGGACCCTCCCGCCCCTGCGGAAGCGAGATCGATGACGCCGAGATCGAGAGGTCGTCGGTCGACGCCGACAGGGTCCGCTGGCCCAGCGCGGCGTGTCCAAGGCCCTCGTCATCGTCGCCGTCACCGCCGCCACTGGCGCTGTCTGCGCCGATGTCTCCCGGCTCAGCGTCGGCGTCCTCAATGCGGAGCCAGGTGTAAAAAGTGTAGCCTGAGCCAATGACGTTGGGCAGCGGTGCAACAGCAAGCCGGGCGCCGCGCCCGTCAAAGTGGAAGAACGACGACGGACCCTTGCGGATGGTCATGCCGACTAACGCGTTGAGGAGCGGCGCAAAGAGCGGTGACCGGTGGCCATCTCGCGGGTGCAGGAGTCGGACAAGCAGCCGCAGCTCCTTGACGGTCACATTGTGTCGGCCCAGGATCTCCACCAGCTGGACAAGAAGCGGCACAAGCGGTGCCGATGGCGCGCCAGTTTCGAGAATGTCTAGGATGCGCTCAAGCAGCTTTTCGCCGCAGCAGAGCTGGACGTTGATGGTAGTCTTGGAAACAATGGTGAGGACGGTGTTGAGGACGAGAGTCTGGAGCTTGGGCGAAGCCGAGCCCAGCAGGTCAAAGATGACGCGGATGCAAGCCGGATTGCGGATGGTGTAACGGGTCTTGGTGGAGAAGCCGCCGTCAACGAGCATGTCGAATACATGCTTAAAGTCGCGCCGCGATGGCGCGTTGCCCGAGGTGTGCATAAACATCGAGGTCAGCTGCGGATAGCCTATGATTTCGCCAAAGGCAGCCTTGGCACTCGCATTACTCGCCATCAGCGCCATAAACGCCTTGAACATAGCCTCCCACAACGTGGCAACCTGCGCCTCGTCACCGCGCAGCGCCTGGTGCATGGCGTGCATGCATTTGACAAAGGAGTCGACCGCGAGAAACCGGCCCTGGTGCAAAACCTGCGAGCGCCGGAGCACGTACCGGATTCCGGCTAAAAGTTGCAGCTGGAGCTCGGCAGTCTCGGCGTCGCGCGACGCCTCGGAAGGAAAGGCCTCCAGGTAGCGGTTGTAGAGAAAGAGCACTCGCGACGACGGTAGGTGGGCGGCAGCGCGGATGAGCCGAGCATAGTGGGTGATGCCAAAGACGGCCAGCCGCGGCGACGACATGTGATCCAGCAGCACGTCTAGAAGCGCCGGGAGCGCCGGACCCGAGCTCCCTTCCTCGGGCGATGCCTCCATCTCGTCGAGAATCCGGACCAGCGAGTCGTAGTAGATCTCGTCTGATGGGGCAAAGTATGCGTCGACCACCTGCATTAACGAGTGCTGCGCCGTAAAAGTGTACGCTCGCGGCGGCGTCTCGGCGCTCTCGGTCGTGACAAAGTACGCCTTGAGCAGCGAGGTGATGACCGCGAGTGTATCCACTGCCCGCAGCCGCGGCGCGTACGTCCCACGTTCGACGCACAGGACCGCGAGGATGGCCATGCACACGTTGTGGACAAGGACCGGGACGTGCGCGTGCGCAGCAAGCACGTACAACAACTTGCGGAGAACGGCCGATGTCGCCTTGTGCGAGCTCGATGTGACGAGGTAGACCAGGAGCCAGAGCGAGAGCTGCTCCAGCTCGGTCTGGCAGGGAACCGTCTCGTGCGATGTCGGGTCAGTATCCGCGCCAGCGTTCGGGTCAAGTGCATGCGGCGGAACAGCCACAAAGTAGAAGAACGGACCCATGAGAAAGTCTAGGGCGTCAGATGCAAGCAGGGCCTCCGGCGCGCGGTCAGGTGCAGCACCAAGAAGCCGGGTGAGCAGCGAGAGCACTGCTGTCTGCAGCAGTGGGCGCCGAGTGGCGAGGAGACGGGCCTCGATCGGCGAAAGTGTGGCCTCGTTGAAAAGAGAAAATAGTGCGTCGATGACAACGGTGTTGAAGCCAAAGGCGGCGGGGCCATCATTCTTGTCGTCTGACTTGGGCGGTTCGGGTCCGACGTGGTGCGGGTCTTCGCGCATGCTGCCTGCCGAGCAGAGGAGGGTGAGCAAGTCAAAGACACCACCAAGCCATGGCGCCGACGCCATCAGTGCCGCCTGGCTCCGCGAAAGGCACGGCGGAGCAAGCGGCGGGCCAGTCGGCTTCTCGCGGACAGGCGTGTACTTGGCAGCGAGCGCGGCGGCGAGAGACTCGGCCTCGGTGCCCACATCAGCGACAACAGCAGCAGCCAGCGGAATGCAGTCGAGGATGGCCGCGGGTGGCGCAGCGCCATCAGCGGCGGCTGCATCAAGTGCGGCGTCGAGCGTGGCCTGCGGGACCGCGGCCGCCGGCAGGCTGAACTCGTAGAGGCCAGTCAGGCCGCGAACCAGCGTCTCAGCCTCTGCATCCGACACCGGCGAGTCGACCAGCTCATGGGTGAGGCTCAAGAGCCAGAGGAGGGCATGTGTGAGCGCGTCAGAGAGACCAGCAGCGGCGAGGTCTCGCCAGGGCATGGCGCCGGTTGCGTTGATGCGGGCCATGACCAGAAGGACAACCTTGTGGAGCGCGGCGGTGCGGAGGATGATTTGCGGGTCTGGCCGCGGGCTGACCGGCGGCGTATGAGCGAGGAGCATGCAGACACGTGCGAGTGGCGACGTGGCATGCGCCGACGAGCCGAGAGCCTTGCGGCCGTACGACGAGCCGGCGAGCAGGCAGACGGTGGAGAGAATGAGCGCCTGCAGCTGGACAGGTTCAGGCGCGTCCAGCGCACCGGATGCGGCATAGAGAAGCTCGGCCAGGGCTGGGAGAGCGGCAATAACGCCTGGCGAGTCGACTACTCGTGCACGAGGCATCCACGCCCAGTCGTCGGCCAAGTAGTGTGATTGGATCTGGCGCGGCGTGCTTGGGTGCAGAGCAAGCGTACGCAGGCAAAACACAAGCGTGTGCGCGAGGCAGATCTCGGGACCGGGTGCAATAAGGCCACTTGGCGCTGCGGCAAGCGTTGTGCATGCGGTCGCCAGTGCACCCAGCAGCGGGTGGTAGCGACAGACGACCGAAGAGGCCGGGGCCAGCACAAGAGGGAGGAGCAGAGCATGGAGCGCAGCCTCAAACTCGGATGCTTCGTGACAGCCACCGGCCAGTCGCGGCACGACCGAGTACCACGACCGCAGCAGGGTGACGGTGACCGGGTACGGCAGCTCCAGAGCAGCGTACGCTGCCAGCGCCGCATCGGGCACGACCGGGCCGCGATGCGCAGTGACGTCGTCAGGCCCAAAGGCTGGGCGCCACGCCGGCGGACAGAGCACAGCAGCAAGCGCCACAGTGAACGCCCGCAGCGCGAACGCAGCCTCTTCCAGCGGCGTCTCTGGCACGTCTGGCGGATCGAGCAGCATCCGGACCGGAATGGAGATGGCTATCAGAGCCAAATCAAGTTGAGAAAAGCGGCCATTGCTGCTGTTCTCATCAGCAGCCTCCATGGAGCTCGTCGCCGCCGCCGCCGCCGCCGCCGCCGCAGTGGCCGACGACGACTCGGGATTCGATCGCGAGATGCGCGAACGCAGCGAGCGGCGCGGCTTGCCCTTTGTCTTCTCCTTGCCTTTGCTCTTTTCCTTGTCCTTGCCCTTGCTCTTGCTCTTGCCCTTGCCCTTGTGGGTGCTCCTCATCGAGACGGCAGTGGCCTGATCGGGCGACGATGGCCCCGGTGATGGCGACGGCGAAGCATGCGAGGAGCGAGCCGAGGAGCGACGACGAGCACCCGTAGCAGCAGGAGTAGATGCAGGCGTACATGGGTCCGAGTCGGGCGTAGCGGCGTTAGTGGCAGCCATGGCAGCGCGGACATAGGCCTTCCAGAGGGAAGCAGCAGCAGAGGGCAGAGGCGGATGCGGTGATGACGAAAGGACACCAGGTCGAGGAGGACTGGCCAGAGAGACCAGAAACGGCTGCTCGTGGGGGGAGACAGGCACCGCCGCTGCCTCCCGCCGTCCGAATAGAGACTTGGCCGCACGAAACAAGGACGACATCCTGTTCGGGAAAGGGGAGGGGGGAGGGGAGGGGGGAGAGAGAGAGAGAGTGGTGTGCGAAGAGGGGAGGGGAAGGGGTGGTGTGTCGTGTGACGCCGCCTGTCGATTCGGCCCGGTTGACGAGCGGCGACGAGTGACGGGCAGAGATGGGCCTTGGGCAGAGGCGGATGGTGGTGGAAGAGGGCTGGAGTCGGTGATCGGTGGCAGAGGAGGGGGAAGGGGGGGGGGGGAGGGACTGTGTTATGTTTGAGTGGATGGGGCTGGGGTTGGGGTTGGGGTTGGGCTCGGAGGCAGCGGACGGGATCGAGGGACGGGCGTTGGGCGTGGAGGTGGGTCGGGTCGGGTGACAGGAGCGGAGGTAGTTGGAGTGGTCGTAGTCAAAGTGGTGGGTGGAGGCGGATAGCCATCTTCATCGTCATTATCAGAGGAAGAGGAAGAGACCGAGGTAGGCGGCGAGATGACAGCGCTGTCGGTATCGCCATCAGACTCGGACTCGGTCCAGTCCATGACAAATGAAGAGACCGAGACCGGACGTGAGAGGCGGGATCGAGCCCGAGGGATAGGGAGGCCTGAGCGAGGGGGCGGGCTGGAGGTGGTGGACGAGGCCGAGGCAACAGAGAGGGTCGACGTGGTACGCGTGCGATGCCCGGCAGCAGTGTCGAGGCGAAGCACGTCTTCGGCGATGAGCGAGTCAGAGACGTCGAGCGAGTCATCTTGGACGTCCCACGGCGACGGCGAGTCGCTGTAGTCTGGCAGGGCTAGCGAGCCGTCGTCGATACCGTCGAGCGTCAGCGCAGAGGCCTTGAACGGATTGGTAGGAACAGCCGGAACGTCGGCGAGTACAACGTGCGAGGCCAAATCCGAGAGATAGGCGTCGCGGAGGACTGCGGCCATGTAGACCTGGGCCCGGGCAATACAGTCAAAGACAGGGGCAAGCCAGGAGTGGGAGCGGGCGAGAAAGGCGTCGAGATCGGCCTTGGCGGTCTCGTTGAAGGCAGAAAAGGAGGACCAAGCCGCATCCGCCTCGCCGCGAGCAATCTTGCCCTTGGCCACGGCCTTGGACGCCGACTTGTGGGCGTAAAACAGCTGGGCCCGCTTACGGACGAGGCGCTTGATCTCTGCATATGAGGCAAGGAAGGCGTCGAGGACGGGACGGGCAGCCTCCAACTGAGCCGAGAGGCGGGCCTTTCTGGCATCGACCAACAATGCCCCCTTGCGCATGGAGGCAGCAGCCATACCGTAGGCCGAGACCGGCTCAAAGTATGCCTCAAACAGCGAGGCGATCTTTGCCGAGCGTGAGGCCAGAGCCGAGAGATCATCAATGAGGAGAGGGAGATGAAAAGCAACGTCCTTGGCCAGCGTCTCCAGCGAGACCACCTCTCTCCCAGGCAGCCGCGTGTACTCTTCGTCATACCCTTGATGCGG